TCCCTTCCCCCTCTTTCCTCCCCCCTCTCTCTCTATTTGTGTGTCTGTGCGCCTGCGTATCTATGTTTCTGTGTGTCTGCGTGTCTGTACTCTGTGTGTCTGTGTCTGTGTGTCTGTGTGTGTCTGTGTCTGTGTCTCTGTATGTGTCTGTGTCTATGTATGTGTGTGTGCCTGTGTCTGCTGAGGGGGGGGAAGTGAAGGTGGGGGGGGGGGGGTGCGCGTATGTGTTTGTGTGTGTGAACACTATCTACCATATAAGTTTTCAAACCTATATATATATAGTAATTATTTATATAAACAAACACGCTTTTGATAACCTTTGATATACGTTATATAGATTACCGATTAACATTTAGACAGTAAGAGCCAGACACGGATGATAGAGAAAGAGAGAGATGAGATGTAATTCTGAAGAAAAATTATTTTTCCTTGATATTGAATAGTTATAAAGGCATAAATTTTTGTAGATGCGATACCATGTGATTAAATAAAACTCTCTAAACAATATTCATTAAAAATAAATACAATATGTAGGCAAAAGGAAGGTTCTCACACTAGTTTGCAGTCTTATGCAAAGCGAAGTCCAATCCATATCAGTCGGTACTTTAGATGTGCGAAACAAAGCTTATAATTAATTCAAAAAGTTATAGAAACTTATGTAGAATCATATAATTACAGATTTCGTTTCACACTAAAAGTACCGGGTAATGTGAAGTGAATTTTACTTTACGTGGAAAGTTGCAAACTCTTATGCCTCTTCCTCGTCCACATATTGTATTTTTAACATTTACATGAATATTTTAAAAATTATATGAGACTGCCGATTAAGACACAAACAAATGTTAATCAGTACCTTGATCTCTATAATGTCAAAGTCAAGGTCATTAAAGATATGTCCTTTAAGGTAAATAATTACCCTCTTTTTTAATATTCTGTACCTACATATATATGTATATAATATATACACGCGTGCGTGTATATTAAAAAATAATAATAAAAATAATCTTTTTAATATATATTAGTATATTAAAAATTTTTATATGTGTATATATCGAATGAGGCACGTAAAGTGTAACTAAAAAATATCTTCGAAACTATTGAAAATAGAAGAATATGTTAATCAATAAAGTTAAAAAGTTTTAGAGATTACACTTTTGAGACATATTTATTTTTTTGTATGTGGATGCTTCAAATAAATTTCAAGGTCATCTAGCTTTTTTAAAAATAACACTGCATATGTTTGAATATCCACAACTGTAGTTCACATCGGGACTAATTCAACGATTATAGGCGCATCCACATTGAAAAATATTAATATGTCCGAAAAGGGCATATTTAGAACTCTTAAAGCACTTCAACTTTACCTATTTAACATTTCCTATATTAACTTTACCTATTACCTATTAACATTCTATCTTTAACAGTTTTGTAGATATGTGTACCTGTTACACGCCTCACACTCTGTATATATGTACGTGTGTGTTAAAAAATTATGTATTATATTATACACAATCTATATATATAAAATATATTGTAATATAATATAATATACAGGGTGGTCCTCGTAACGGTCGCCACGATTTTTAAGGCACTTACAATAATCTGACAGGACATAAGAAAATGCCATTGGTTTGATCTTAGATAGTCGTTTGAAGGTCACATGAAGGTCATCTTTAATTTCTTAAATAGAAACCCCTATTTTTTATTATATATTCTTGTAGCTTAACTCGAGAGCTTTTCAAAACACTGTAATAAAGTATTTTTTCATTAAGTACTTCTTGAGTTATTTTATATTTTATTGTGACATATTTTGATATAAAAAATAAAATATCTCGTAAAATATTTAGTTTTCGATAATCTTACCGTAATACTTTTATGTACAGAATAATGAGACAAATCAATTAGTAAAAAAAATAGTGTTTAAGAAAAAGTATGTAATTATTTATAATGTATTTTTTTAAACAATTATTTGTTTTTTTTTTTTGAACTAATTGATTTGTCACATTATTCTGTACATAAAAGTGTTCATTATTGTAAGTGCCTTAAAAATCGTGGCGACCGTTACGAGGACCACCCTGTATATGAAATTTTATAATGTGCTTTTATATATCAAATAGATATGTTTTTAATTTCTTGTGCATGATTTGTTTATGTTTCTTCATAAAGAATCAGGATCTTTTCGATTGTACCATCAGTTTTAGTATAATATAGCTTATATATATATATATATATATATATATATATATATATATATACATGTATATGTATATACACACATATATTCATATACAAAAGCTGTATTATCACCAGAACACGTACAACTTGGTATATGTTTTTTACGCTTATTATACACAAGAACATATTTATTACATCTATAACAAAAATTGCTAAAAACAATTGCGATTTTGTATTTTTATCCATCAGAAGTAATAAACATATTTCAATCAATAAACGACCATTAAAAAGTGGTATTACCGTGCATTATTGATAAACGTGTTTAACGTGTTAGACAAATAATTGTGCATAATGGATTACCTGTGCAGTAGAGCCATCAGTATGGCAATAGGGCTAGCGGTGGAGACACACAATAATAAAATGTAATAAAAATATGCAATAAAAGATAATATTGTGAAATGAAATGTTGAACGGTTGCTCAAAGTACATTTCGCATATTACTTCGAGTAGTGATAATTTGTCACACTGATCTCTTTATATATATATATATATTATATATATATATATGTGTGTGTGTATACGTACATATCGGATATATATCAAATAACGTGTGAACAATTTTTATCACCTTTGATATCCTATTTTGTATGTATCTGTGTATATAAAACACTTCTTTTTTATATATATACGAGTATATATACAGACTTGACAAAGAGTTCTGAACAATGTTCGGCGATTGTCAGAAGCTTTATCCGTCTATTGACACTAGAAATATGTTGCATTTTTAAATTTATTTCTACACCTTACAAAACAATTATGCAAACCAGGACGCATCACGGGCTATATAATCAAGGCGCAGTAATAGCTGAATAATTTGCAAAAGTAACCGGCATTATACGGTGCGTGGTAATGAACCGCGTGCTTGTGCATTGCTGTGCTCGATCGCAATTTGCAATAGTGATGTGAACGGATGAGAGTAAGAGACAGACGTGCATTTTTGCTTACTGCCGACAGAGAACTTACTTTTCATTTTCCTCTTTGTGCATTCTTTGTGCTTCTCTCTTATTAAATCCATCTGTCACTATAGCATCCAAAACTAGGGATTGCATTAGTTTCTTATCACCTAAAATGTTACAGTCAGGTAAGTTAGAACTTATCATTAATTTTTATTGAAATTACTCAAGGCATAAAATAAATTTTAAAAAACAACTTTGCAATTTACTTTTTAATTAAAATTAAAAAATTTTATCTGCAATATTATATTACTTTTTGCTTGTCTTAATATGTAGTTTAACATGTTACTTTTCAAATAATTTTTAACCATGGTTTAAAGATATTAGATTAATGTGAGCACTTACAATAATGAGAATCTTTTTCCGACTTGCTCGCTTGTTTATGATGCGAGCTGGGACTCCTTGCTCTCAAGGACATCCACTTCCAACCCGGTCTACGCGATCGTGCTAAAAAGTGCAAAACGCGTTCTTCGGGAGAAGTAAAGAACTTATCGGAAGCCGAATTATATTCGCAGTAGACCCAATCGGGATGCACTTTCCAGTTGCTCCCTTTGAAATGCTCCGTTACTACAATAGTAATAATAATAGTAATAATAATAATAATAATAATAATAATAATAACAACATAACAACATCCCAGATTGTTTTCTCTGTTTATGTTCTATTTAGATATTGTGTAATAACAATAAAAAATTTACCATTTATAATAGCGAGTTTGATTTCTTGCTCGGCACGCACTTCGAACATGCCGTATCCTTCCGGTAAAGCTAGGCCTAAAGAAAATGGAGTACCTTCGATCGGCTTGTAAAAATAGTTGTGCCGTCTAATCGTAACTCTCTTCTGCAAATCAATATATATATATGCATAATCAAATAAAATTTTAATTTCATATATAATAAAACGCGTATAACCACATTTATATTTGTTTTTATAATAAATATATAATATTTTGGTAACTATTACGAAAAGATTACACTTCACCGATCACTTTTATTTTCACACATATATGTATCATATTATAATCGATAGAGTCCTGAATCACGTACACTTTGAATGTTTGAATCATATTTCGGACTCTTCTAGTTTCTAAGATATGACATTTTAAAATATTGCATTTCTTCCTTATTATATATATTTAGTTTTTCATACTGTGTGTTATATATGTCTCTTTGTCGAAATTTTTTGTTTGTTACATTATCTTTTTTATCTTTAACATGACTATTTCATTATTATCAACAGATTTCAGCTATTTCTGTCAATTCTTAAACAGCTTTCGACATTCAATGATACAAATTTTTGAGTACAAAGAGAAGAGGAGCTACGCCCTTCTCTTGTATCCCCACCCCGGAAAAATTATAAACTAATCCGAACTAATTTATTTTATAAATTAAGATTAGATTTGGGTTAGATAAAATTTTTTATAGCAGAGTTGGGGATACAGAAAAAAGGGCAAAGCCTCTCCGCCGTCCACGCGTGTATTTTGCAAGTTATTTTAATACAAAAACACTGTCATACTTAAGTTAAAAAACTGTTTTACAAAATAGTTGTTTTAATTTTCTACAAAAATAGTGATATAAAAATATTGCGCGAATCAATAAAAATTTATATTACAAAATTCATTTATTATTATTTCTAATATTAAAAATTGCAATGTGATCAAAATAATGGAATATATTTAAGTGAAAAAAATGTTGAATTAAAAAAATTAATTTAAGTATAAAATAACTTTAAAATAACAGCTTGGAAGATTCTTCTAGTTCCACTAAAAAATAAATGTATATTTTTAAATTATTTAAAAAAATAAATAGAAATTATTTTTGCAAAAACATGCAAAAATTTGTACAAATTTGCAAAGAATATGCAGATATATATTTATAATCTATAAATATTTATTTTTTATAATATTTCAAATCTGTAGGAATAAATGCAAAATGAAATAGAAAATAAAAGAAGCTTTAATCAAATAATATATATTTTACAAATACAAAATAAATAATCACGATATTCAAAAATATAAACTTTATTTGTACATATAAACTTATATTTAAACTAAACTTGTATTTAAGAAAATAAAATGTAAATTAAATTTTTTATTGAGAGTTAAAACAATATATTATTAAATGTTTTTCAAAATTTTCCAAAAGAAATCTATGCCTTCTGTCTGAAAATAAATATTTAAAAATGGAAAAAGAACGTTCAACATCTACAGATGTTATCGGGGCATTTTTAAGTTTACTAATTAATTCAGGGATAAGAAAGTTAATGTCGTTATCATCATTAGCAATTAATTCGCTTTTCAAAATTCTGTTGACTTTAATTAGTAGCTTGTAACCTACATTTTTTTCCAGAACGTCATTTAATTTTTTTAAAATTGTCGCACCAATTTTACCTTTAAGATTTTTACATGAAATTTCGAACTTTTCGATTAATTCAATTGATTCTAACAAACTCATCCCTTCTTTTTCCAATTTCTCAATTATTTTTGCCACGAAACTGTAATTGCTTTTAATAAATCCAAGTTGTTGTTGAATTTCGGACTTCTTAAATAATTCTATGCAATTTTCAATTGCAAAGCTCGAATTCGTAAGAGCAAGAATAATATTCATTATAGGATTGTAATTATCTGCATAAAAAAGAGCCGCCGTCAGCCATGTACCCCATCTTGTTATTATAGGTTCAGGAGGAAGTGGAGTATTGGGAAGTTGCTCTTTGTACAATTGAACCCGTAGAGAAGCTTTCAAAAAGGTTTTTTTTACGTTTTTAATCAAATCATTAATTAATGGAAATTGATTCCTAATTTCTTCAGCTACACGATTAAGACCGTGAGCTAGGCAACTGACGTGGATTAAATTTTCATAAAATATTTTTAAATTTTGGCCAGTTTTAATCATATATGGTGCGGCATCTGACAATAACAGTAAAATTTTTTGAGAAGGCACATGCTCGGATAAAAAAAATTCTGACAATCCGTTTTGAATTAAGCGAGTTATTGTTACATTGTTTGTTTTTTCAAGCTGTTTTGACGATATTAAATATGACTTACTTACGTTATCTTCGCAAAGAATGCAATGTTATGTTTTGTTTTTACACATAGCATAAATTACTTTTGCAATATTTTATTTGTCTCTATAAATAAGATAAGAAAATATTCTATACATTTATGACATGTTTATATTCTATTCTATATATGTTTACTCCCCAATAATCTAAAAGCTCCTATAATCTAACTCAATAGCCGACTCGCGTATAGATACCCGGAGTGCTTCGCTATTGCTACGCGTGACTTGGCGCGAGACACTACCGTGTCTCTTGATATTTACTTTCCTCTACGTATGATCCTCGTTTCGGATGAAGTGTTGCAAATTCATATGAAATTATACACATTTTAATACTGAAAATACTAACATTTTTGAGCATGATAGGGGGGCCGAAGACCCCCTTGCACTCCCCCGTGTTTGTGTGTGTGTGTGTGTGTGTATGTGTGCGCGTGCTTCCTGTCCATGCATGTACTTTAATATATTTCAATCTTTTTTTGTTAATAACTTTTTAATAAGCAACGAGCGACGATTAAATTAGAAGAAAAAGTTACTTAGAATTATGTCCTTGACAATATATATCAAGGTCAAGGTCATTGGGGCTGGGTCCCCTTTTCGTTATATTTACCAAATTATTAAAGCTGATAATCAAACTATTTACTCTTTCAAACTATTTACTCTTACATTATATTTAAGATATGTTATTTTTAAATTTAAAAAAAAGTAGAAAAATATAAAGTGATATATCTCAGAAATTATAAAAGAATTCACAATGTGATTCAAAGTAAACATGATTCAGAACTCTACTCACTATAATATACGTAAAAAATCGAACTGATCGATGTAACTGAAGTGTAACCTTTCTATAATAATTATCAATCTTTTATGTCTTACCATATTGTCATAATGAATTTTGATTGTAAAGTCTGTTTCTCCTTCTTTTTGATCGATCATGTCACGCCTCAACTAAAAAGAATAATATCACTTATTTTTGCACATTACAATAGCAATAAAATAACCAGAATACATATGGAGAAATCGGACTTACATCGAGCAGGAGAGAATTGTTTGGAGGGGTTGAAGGGCCATCATATTCTGCGAGTTCAACTTCCGACAAATCCACACTTATATACGTAGGCTTTAGCGTTTCATCATACTAAAAAAAAATATATATATATATCAAAATCCTTAAAATTCTCAGATATTCGAATAAAATATAATCCGCTAGCTTTAGGATATATAATAATTTTGTATACAGGGTTTCCGATAATTTTTGACACACCCGAAATGTGAAGATAGATTGGGTCATATTGAAAAGAGAAATCCTGTACCATTTTGCGATTTTCGTAATAATTATTGAGAAATTAATTAAAAAAGATCGACCAATTCGCATGAGTATTACCGCGCGGAGAGAAAGAATGGCCTAATATGGGCGGCATTGATATGTGGTTGCTAGAACGCGAGAATCCATCGTTATGTATCGCTCGTACGTAACTGTTGTCATTTGTAGAGCGCTCCTCCCAAAACTTTGTCGCGCGCCTACTTTTGGGTTGTCTTTTCTCGCTGCGCGCTTATACTCGCGCGAATTGGTCGATCTTTTTTAATTACTTTATCAATAATTATTACGAAAATGGCAAAATGGTACAGGACTTTCCTTCTCAGTTTGAACCAATCTACCTTCACACTTCGGGTGTGTCAAAAATTATCGGACATCCTGTATATGTATATTATTATGTACTATAGTATATGTATATGTATATTATTATGTAATATAGTATATTATTGTGTACATTTCTGATTCTCTCATACTTACTTCTGTATTTCCAGGCTGCGCATAAAACATTCATATGATTATAATATATCATGATACTATGTTTCTACAGGAAATACATAAAAAATTAATAGGAATTTATTCTGTATAAATATAAGCTTTTATTGTTGAAATCGGGAATTGCTTTAAAAATTTATGCGCCATATGTGTAATGTAATGCATACTAAGATGTGAAAAAAAGTTAACTCTACTACTAATTACAAAATTATATTTTCAAAGTAATTTTGAGAGATTATATATCTTTTATTATAATAATATTATTACTTACGAGAGGCCGCAAATCAGGATGATACAGAACTCTGCCATTATTGTCAACAATAAACGAATATCCATTAACTCCTAACTGTAATTAAAACAGCGCATATTTAAACATTAATAATGAACAAAAAAAATAACTTGTATAAGTAAAGTTGATTATATTAATCTTCGTTAGCTAACTTTTATTAAACAAATTTTCTTTATCTTATCTATATTGTGGATAAGAAAATATAATAATAGCAGCAATAGGTTCAGAGTAAAAACCAGAGTAAAAACAGAGTAAAAATCAATTGGAAAACTGGCAGATAAGAGCCAAGGCGCGAGTATGGATAAGCATGAATTTTCCATGCTGAAGATGGACCAAAAAACGGTCCGAAACGTACATTTTTAATGCAAATTAGTTAATAAAATTTAACGATAATAAGTTCGCGCACCGATACCCGCGCCTTAACTCTTATCTGCCAGACTTCCACTTGAAGAAAATATAAGAAACTATAATTTTATAAAGAAAGAATCAAATTTGACCCAGCTACTAATGTAACTAGGATTGAAAGTCTGATAAAAAAAAGCATTAGTCTGTACCTTGTAAGGCGGCACGAGCTTCTGAATCTCCTCAACAGGTACGTCAGTACCAACAATACCCAACAAATTGGCTGTTTTTACCTTAAAAAACGATAATACATACAATATGAAGTTCTTCATGTTAACATATTACTAATAGCATAATAGCCCAGTCAATAGAGACAAAAAAGGCAATTTACATTAAATCCAGGAGTTTTGATATTTGAAAAGGTTGTATAGTTTTAGGTCCTAAATGATTTCCTGAGTTTTCGATTTTGGCGCCCCGCCGCTCGCGATGTCATATTGAAAAAATGGGCCAAAAAATGGTTTTTTTGGCAATATCTCTTTTTCGGTTGGTCTTACGACAAAAATAGTTATTACCAATATTATAGAGGAAGAAATTTTCTATAACTTTTGTGTGAAACTTTTTTTTGTAGGTTGGATAGTTTTTGACCTACAGCGGCGTAAAGCGGACAATATTCAACGAATTTTTGAAAATGCTTGTTTTTACCTGAATTTTTAAAAATTGTCAATTAATAATTGCATATTTACTATTCTACACTCGTTGCCACACTCCTAGAAGACCTCGTAAATTTCAAAAACGTTGTACTAAAGGCCTCTACACACCAATCGTACCCGATTGATTCGTATGTTGGGACCTTAAATTTGAAAAGACTTCTTGGAATTTAGGTCATGTAGTCGGGGTTATTTTCAACGATCAAAGAATCCCCTCCGATCGTTATACCTCAAGTAAATTAAAATTAAATTAAATTAAATTTATGTCAATCAAATTTTTCAGTAAAACAGGCTACAGAAGATGCTGACACATTGATCATCAACGCAGCCATCGACATGTCCTCATGTTATCCTCAATTCTGTTATTGTCGTTGGTGAAGACATAAATCTTCTGGTTTTATCGATAAAATTAAAATCCAAACATTTATTTTTGAAAGCCATGTAAAGGAAAAATTGCCGAGAAACTATACTCTTCGCAAAGTTTTCAGTATGAAGAAGCAGATAACATACTGTTCTTCCATGCATTCAGCGGCTGCGATACAATATTTGTTATATTCAATATCGGAAAAAACAAGTTTTTCACTATCCTTGAGAAGAATCTGCACTTAAACAATACTGTGCAAATATTCAAATGATATGACATAGACCCTGAAATTATTATCCCGGAATTATTATATTACCAGAGAAAGGTTTCTGATCGCATTATACGGGAGTGAAAAATGAACCAAAAGGGGTTCACTTCGCTACCAGCATTTTGCGAAATCTATAACGGAAAATGATTTTCATCTTGCTTCATTGTTCTCTACACGAGAAGTTGCACGTCAGCATTCATTTAGAACATATCAAGTCCAAACTTGGTATGACATCCCGAAAAATGCACAGGAATGGAGCTGGCAAAGGAACAAGACTGGACTTATTCCAGTTAAAAACACTAAAGATCCTTAAGCTACTCCTTAAGCTTTGTTCCAATTCATTTCGTAAATGCAAGACAAAATACGGTGCAATTTGTGGTTGTAGAAAAACAGGCCTCAAATGCCATTATCTGCGGTTACTGCAATAGGCAAACATGCGAAAACGTACCACAGATTTTGGATGTTTTTGAAGACAAAGAAGAAGAAAAAAATAAAAGCAGAAATTGATGAGACATTGCCCTTTAATGGGATCAACGAAGAAGTCGAATCAAGCAACAACTGTGAGATTTCTTCTACGAGTACAGAAGAAATAGATGTCGACCAACCTGGACTATCAATACGGAGCCGTGTTTCCAAAAATTTCAAAATATTTTGCGAGTTTGGATTAGGCCTACTGGGGATACCACATAAAAAGAAAAAAGAAAAACGCGCCGATAACTCTACCTTATGGTGGTGTGGAAATGAGTTAGTTAATAATTAATTTATGTATAATCAATAGTCGATAATGTCAACATGCAATCATTAATTGATAATTTTTATAAATTCAAGTAAAAATAAGCATTTTCAAAAATTCACAGAATATTGTCCGCTTTACGCTGCTGTAAGTCGAAAACTATCCAACGTACAAAAAAAAAGTTTCAGACAAAAGTTGTAGAAAATTTCTTCCTCTATAATATTGATAACAACTATTTTTGTCGTAGGACTAATCGAAAAAGAGATATTGCAAAAAAATCGTTTTTTGGACCCATTTTTACAATATGGCGGCGCGAGCGGCGAAGCGCCAAGGTCGAAAACTCAGGAAATTATTTAGAACCCAAAATTATGTGACCCTTTCAAATTTCAAAACTCCTGGATTTAATGTAAGCAAAAAGTATCTATTGACTAGGCTATAATGTAACAGTAAAATGTAAACCAAAAGCCATTCTAAGCCGCAAAGCAAGAATTATGAGAAAATAAGTAAATATTATTTTAGCATAAAGCATTAAAGCAACGCTCGCGCAAGATTAAAACAAGATCTATCATTTTTAGATAATTACCGTATAATTTCGGCGATCTAAAATTGGAGCTGTCACAGAGGTCATTAGTTGACCGCGATTTTCTCTGCCATACATACTACTCTGAAGATCAATCATTATTATTGTCACAGATTATCACGTACATAATATCAAGAAGACACCAATATTTACAAAGATATTTTCCAAAATTAATTAATTAATAATAATAATATATTAATTAATTAATATTAATTAATTATTAATATAATATAATAAATTAATATTTATTAATTAATTAATATGATAATTACACATAATATAATTTTGTCATCCTATTAATAATGAATTAAATTGCTTACTTTTCCACCTATATAAGCAGGACTCCAATGAAGAGGATGATCATGCTGATAGAGTACCATAGGCCGTGCTAGAACCTTCACGTACTCGAAGACTTTATCATGAATTTCATCAATATTTGTTATTCTTGCATAAAAACCTATGAAAGATTTTTTATTATTGTAAATATAAAAAATTTACAAATCTTTAGGCAACTTTTTCACAGACATTAATAAGATATTATTTTATTTCTTAATTCCTATATGCACTGGTGTTCAAAGAAAGTGCATCACCTAGAAATTTCACATTTCTCACCATTTTTCGCGATGGTATAGTATGTTATACTAATGACTAGCATCACAAAATACAGTGGAAATATAAACAAAAGATATTTATTAATAACACTGGTCGATAAAATAAAATTTTTTTTTTTGCCTTAAGTTATACCAAGTCATTTCTGGTAAATTTTTGGTAAATATAGCGAATAGAGGTCCAGCCCCAATGACCTTGACCTTGACATATGTTATCAAGGACATAATTCTGAGTAACTTTTTCTTCTAATTTGATCGTCGCTCGGGCAGGGTGGACCTCGCTTTACAATGTAGCATGTACTTTGTAAGCGAGGTCCCGAGGTCCACCCTGCCTACCGGCGAGGTGGGTGCGGGAGGGGGGCCGAAGGCCTTCCTTGCACCCCCCCTGTATGTGTGTATATTCGCTATATTTACCAAATTTTTTAGCGCTGATTACGAATCTGGCTGTAAAAATGGCGTATTACGTCAAGAAAACCTCAGTCAAAATTGCTAAAATAGGCGTTTTTGATACTTTGGCGTGAGTTATATCTTTCAATGAAGACGTGCTACATACGGCAGCGACAGCTTAAAATAAAGCTCAAGACTTATACTTTATGACAAAAATGCCAGAAGTCCCAGGCAGGATAGGTTTTCCTGAAAAAAGTAGTCGAAACATAAGAAATATCTATCGCAATGTTCTCCAGTGATACATCTCCAATTGTCCGTTACTAAAATTTTTTTTAGTAACAAAAGTAATAAAAGACTATTCTAATTTTGTTCTTAACTGATAGCGACCACAAAAACCTACATATACTCATGATCTGAATGATTTTTCAAAAATTTGATCCGCCATTTTAGATCTTCCATTTTTAATTTTAAAATTTTAACACGTGATTCGTGATGAGTGATCAGGCAAATGTATATATATCGACTTTCATGATTAGAATGATTCTAAAAAATTTTAGTAACGGACAATTGGAGACGTATGACTGGGGGACACTGCGATAGATATTTCTTATGTTTCGACCACTTTTTTTCAGGAAAACCTTTCCTGCCTGGGACTTCTGGCATTTTTATCCTAAAATATAAGTCTTGAGCTTCATTTTGAGCTGTCGCTGCTGTCTGTAGCACGTCTCCATTGAAAGATATAACTCACGCCAATGTATCAAAAACGCTTATTTTAGCAACTTTGACTGAGGTTTTCTCAAAAACTTGACGTGATACGCCATTTTTACAGCCAGATTCGTAATCAGTGTTAAAAAATATATCAGAAATGACTTGGTAGAACTTAAAGCAAATTTGGTGTTAAACAGTGTAATTAATGTAAAACTAATTAATATTTGACAGATGTTTTTAAAATATTCCAAAATGAGCATTTGCAACCTTTATACAACAGTTTTATAAATATGACGATTATGGCTGAAATGTTATCAGAAGCCTTCAAATTGCTTGAGTTTATCATTTTAAATAAAAAACTAAATGAAAAGTTTACCAGGTGCAAACTAATATTTAGTTTAACTGCCTAATAACAGCAGCACATCGTCGAAGCATTGACAATATCAATTTCTGAAAATAATTAATGGATAATTCGTGATTCCAAACACGAATTATCCCTTCCTGAAGTTCACGAAGAGTCTTTAGTTTCTTTCTGGCAACTGCAGATTCCACACAATGCCAACAGTTTTGTATAGGATTCAGGCTGTTTCCTGGCCATTTAAGAGTTATAATAGACCGTTCTTCCAACCATTTTTTACCTGTAACAAATGTAAACGCTTTACTGTTCTACTTCTTATGCAGAAATAAAGCTAAAATAACTACAGAAGTGCCTACTTACACTTTTCGCCCGATGACAAGAAGCAGAGTCTGAAAGATGCAGTTACTTAGCAGATTAAAATGGTCTCTAATGGTTGGCAGTAATTTGTCTTCCAATATAGTCAGATATCCATTGGGATATAATTAGGGAGGTGCATTTCGTATCGCGGAATAGGTCAATTGCAATTTATAAAAGATTTATTAAATACCAATGGATATCTGACTATATTGAAAAATTGCTGCCAACCATTAGAGATTATTTTAATCTGACAAGTAACTGCATCTTTCAGGACAATCCTGCTTCTTATCATCACGATAAGACGAAAAGTGTAAGTAGGCACTTCTGTAGTTACTTTAGCTACATTTCTGCATAAGAGGTAAGATAGTAATGTGTTTACATTTGTTATAGATAAAAAAATGGTTGAAGGGATGGTCTATTACAACCTTGAAATGGCCAGAAAACAGCTCGGACTTGAATTCTATAGAGAACTGTTGGCATTGTGTGGAATCTGCAGTTGAAGCCAGAAAGAAACCAAAGACCTTTCATGAACTTCAAGAAACGATAATTCTTGTTTGGAATCACAAACTATCAGCTGATAATTTTCAGAAATTGATCTTGTCAATGCCTCGATGGTGTGCTGCTGTTATTAGGCCCGAGACGGTTCGACTAAATATTAGTTTGCACCTGGTGAGAATTTTATTTTGTTTTTTATTTAAATTATAAAATTATTTAGATATTAACTCTAGTTATCCGTTTTTTCAAAATCAAATAAATTAAAATTATATACACATACTTAATATTTGAATTGTCGAATGCGCGGCTCAGCCATGACAGCCTTTTATTGATATGAAGTAATGTACAGCGCAGTGTCGAGACAATAACATGCCTTTTTTAGAGTCGGAATGATAAACTAATGCAACTTAAGGGCTTCTGATAACATTTCCGCCATAATTGTTATATTTATAAAACTGTTGTACAAAGGTTGCAAATACTCATTTTGGAATATTTTGAAAACACCTGTCAAATATTAGTTAGTTTTGCATTAATTATTAATAAATATCTTTCTTTATATTTCTACTGTATTTTGTGATACTAGTCATTAGTGTAACATACTGTACCATCGCGAAAAATGATGAGAAATGTGAAATTTCTAGGTAACGCACTCTTTTAAGCACCCGTATGTGTGTATGTATGCGTGTGTGTGCATGTGAGTGCGTGAGAATGCGAGTGTGCGTGAGAGTGTGAGTGTGCGTGCGCGTGCGTGCGTGCATGCGTGTGTGTGTATGTGTGTGTGCGCGCGCGAGAGAAAGAAAAAGGGAGAAAGAGGGGGAGAGAGGGAGGGGAGAGAGAGAGAGAAAAATTATATATATATATATATACAGGGTGGCCCCGAACGTTCCAGCCAGACTTTGAAATCTTATAGAAAATTTAATTCTGAACAAAAAATTTCCTATAAACATGGCTCGAAAAATGCTTTCTTAAAAAATTATCGCTCAAAAACCTTTGATGCAAAGGAAGAGCAAATCGGGACCGTGGTCAATCGGGACCGTGGTTAATATCAACGTGGTCAATATCAACGTGGTCAATCGCAACGTGGTCAATCGCAACGTGGTCAATCTC